AGTATAATGGCAAAGAGTGATAGGAGTTAACTTACTGCTAAGTTCATTTAGTCTACTTATTTAGTCTCTCTTACTGCACGCCTTCTTGGTGCGTGCGAATTTTAATTTATGACATACGCAAAAAGGTGATAATCTTCTTTTTTTTCAATCCCTGAAAGCTTAGAACTTCCGTTACTATCTAATTAAAAAAGAACTTATATTTCTAATTTTATCGCGAATTTCCGACACAGGGTCTTAACCAGACGCACCTTTTTTTTTTTAGTTCGTCTTTAGCCAGTCTTGTGAGGGGTTCACGAGAACTTGTACGTTTATTATATTACCGGAATCTGATGTGAGGTCGGTTTGCCTAGTGTTAGGAAATCAGCTAGTCTGGCACAATCATCTTAATTTGACCTTGTTTCGGCATTTCCTGTTCAACAGGAAATACGTAACAACTGTCAATATCTTTATGTGATAATTGTGAAATATGTGCTGACATGCAGATGAAATACAAATAAAAAGATTATCCTCACAGGTGAGCGGCACTTAAAGCAACTGCACAAAAGAAGTTCGACTCGAACTTGTGCCTTCCAGATACTAGTTAAGTCCTATTACTAGCTAAAAGAGGAAGCGAGATGTCGGGAGCGCTCCCAATACCTGGCTTCGAGAAAAAATCATAGAGTAGTCATTATATAATTGGTCCGGGCCCCAAAAGTGATGAATATTATTTCGTCAGTTGCACCAATAATTTTCCATATCGTATGGCAAAATATTTCTTCTGATACAGTATTTTACTGAAATACGCATGACACTTACAAATCTTATTTGTTATCATGCAATTATGGACTACAAACTCTTGCATGTGGACGACAAGCGCTGGCCGTGTTTTCACGAGCATTTCTTCAAAAGGCTTAGCGAATGGCTAACGCTAGATCAAAAATTTCGTAAGAAGAATTGTTTTACTAACTCTCATAAGGTCAAAAAGGCTAAGTCACGTTGTGAGTTTGTGCACTGAGTTCTTCCAGTTCGACACTTGTGGATGTCAAATCTCTCTTGTTCCCTATCAGGAAAAGGCGCAATTTTGTAACCATCTTTGTCTTGTAATTATTCCCCATATATTACGTTGCTTTCGATTCCTTTGCATTTTCTTTCCTTCTTAATACGTGTCTGATAATGTGTTTTTTAGCATGAGCAATTACAATCTTATAGTCTGAAGTAAAAAAGTTGAAACAAGTTACGGTTTTTTGGCGTTAATTCAAAGGCAAGGTGTAATGAAATTCGGGTTTGTTTTCCTAGGTGTCACAAGATGCAAAATAGTTATATTCAATAAAAATTTCCGGAAATTCCACCTAAATATCAAATAGAACAAAAAGTTTCTGGAATCTCGCTTTAAAAATTCTTGACAAGCCCTCGAGGTCGTCCATTTTCGCGGAAATTTGGACCAATGAATGTTAACCTGACGTTTCATAGGTGCTGTGGTAGTATCATAGTACTATCATAGTAGCATCAAAAGCGAAAGGATAGCTAGGTTCGTTTATCATAGAAAGTAAATGCAACATAATCACAGGAACGAGATGTTTTCGGCCTGTTTTCTGCCTGTTACAAAATACTGTTCCATTGGACACACGAAATGTTTAAGAAATTCCAAACGGGAATCTTCGGTCGAATGGAACGTGCACAGAATATCAAAGAGGATCAACAGTTCATAAGTATTAGTAATGATAAACATGTAAAAGTTGCCTAATAGTAACTTTCAATGCGTTTCAGTGGCCAAAATTTTATTGTGGACATCTTTCTAGAAGCATTTTCCCAATTAATTTTGCTTCAAAAGTTGGCTTTAGTTTGAATTGATAATTATTTAATTTCATAATAATAATAAATGTCGGTGTCTATTACGTTATGATTACTGGCTGTTTCTCTCTTCCGTTGTTTACAAACAAAAAGGACAAAAAGTCTTCTGTTTCAGTCCATGTGACCTCTAAACTTTCAATGGTCAAAACAAAATTTTCTGGTATTTTACTCAAGTTTGCAGATATGAAACGACGGTCAACGTATCAGCTGACCAATCATGGCGTGTCACAGTATTGTACACATAAATAGGTTTTCTTCAATCTAAAATAGAAATATTAAAAATATCGTTTGTATTGTAGCCAAACGTGTAAAAAAGTGTACCGAAATTATTTGACCATTTTCCCTTCGATCCAAATTAGTTTCCAGGGAAGTAAAAAAATATTGAACTAAACAAAAATGTTTGTGACAGATATTAGGTGAACGAAAAAGGAGGAGTCGCTTGTTCTCTCGTCACGCTTGGGGTTGATAATCCACTTGAGTTCTCTAACCAAAAAAATGTTATTGAGTTAGAAACATCGCCAAACTAGGTAAAAATAGTTCAGCATGTGAAATAACTTGAACTGTGTCTGTTCAAACAAAACGTCAGTTACCCCCGCTAACGTTTAATTCTCACGAACTCGCACGTCCTCAAACAAAGGTCGGCCCTTAAAAAATTGTTGCTATCCAGTTAAGTATAAAATCCTTCCAAAAACACATAAGTTTCCCTTGCTTACGTTTAAGAGTGGAAAATTTTACGGTAAAATCCTGAGGTATGTATTTTTTGTAATTTTAACTGCGTTTGGAAACTTTCTAAACATGACCTTCAAGGATTCGCCGAAACCGCAATTAATTTTACGGGTCACTCGTTTACTCTCCAAAAAAATTAATGTAATTAGTGTTGTCTCCGACTATAACTGAGGTACTGGACTCCCACAACTAACGGGTCACTCTTGAAAATCATTCTCGAAAACAAATTAATGTAATTAGGGTTGTCTCTGACGATAACTGAGGTTCTTGATTCCCACGACTTGGAGAGGCATTGATGCATATAACAGGTGCGCACGCAACTCTATCAAGCTTCTTATAACTCAGTAGAAATTTGAACCCAATCAGTTTTAGCAAAACCTCGCCATCGTCAATTTTTTGGCAGCGTTTCTGAGTGCTACTGCATGCAACACCAAAAGAATTACAATGAAAGGTATTAAACAAGGAACAGGTATGTGAAATCTGGCTCTTTGATGAAGAATTCGCATCTTAAGGAGACTTTCGTCGAACACTCATCAGTGCGTAGATGCAATGCTTACTTTTTAAAATATGAGATTGTTTGCACATCTATTTCATTTAAACATAATTCCTAACCCACTGAGTTTGTATGCGACTAATCTTGCAAATAGGAAGAACTTTCGAGAAGTCTACTCTGTATTATTAACGAAAGAAACAGAGGTCGAACTCCAAACGTTTTGGAATGTCTTTCAATGGTGGCTTTGAATAGAGAATAGTCAGATTGTCTGACACAGTCGAACAGTCGAACTTTCGCGCTCGTGGTGGCCTATACGGTCCCACAATTTTGGTTTTCCGAGCTCAACACAATTCTATTTTCCATCTCGATCGTTCATTCGTTTTATCGAAAAGATCCTCTTGGAGTCAGCAATTTCAGTTTTAAATTTGCTTTACCTTTAAAATGGCTATTCAATGTCTAGTCAAAGACTTGATGGAAAACTATAGTCAGTTTTTGAACATGACTTCCCAATGTAACAAATATCATGTGAATATTTGGTTGATTCGTCGAATTTCGTCCGGCCTAAGATTTAAGTCCTTTCCAGCTAGCTGGCTCAAAGTTTTGGCGACAGTTTTTCTCAACAAACTTGAATTTTGATCTGGCTCAAAAGATAAAACAGAAACGTAAAACTGCCACGTTGATAAATGCGGTCATACATCTTGAAATTTTTATGTATGTGGGGCGTATGAATGGTATTTTCCCTGGGCGCAGGGAAACAGGAGAAATTCCGTTTTTCATCAATTTACAAAATCTAGTTGATGCCGATCCCCGGTTAAAGGAAATTGGCGAAGGATTTCTGCCCTTCAGTTAGGCCAAGCAAGTGTTCCGAATCATTAAAGTTTCCCCGCATTGATCGTTCAAACACACGTGATGGGATCTGTTCTTTACCGGGTATGAAGGGGCAATCCATGCATGTGACCCAACTGAGGCCACACAATTGTTTAATTACCACATACATTATTACTGAGTTTGAGAGGTATTATTCCTCGCGGCTTCGAACGTTTCTTAGATTCTAAATAACTGCATTTTGTACGTATTTGGAGATCGGAGGTAGAATTGACTTCTGGTCGTTTGCATTTGAAAAATTTGAGTACAACAAATTTAACGAGCTCACAAAGCAATACCGGGAAGCGGAAATTTAATGAAGTAGTTCTTCGCGCTTGATGGATGTGAGATGGTAAATAGGCACCATGCGAAAAATTTGAGTACAACAAATTTAATGAGCTCACAAAGCAATACTGAGAAGCGGAGAATTTAATGAAGTAGTTATTCGCGCTTGATGGATGCGAGATGGTCAATAGGCACCATGCGTTAATTGAATAATTGGTAATTGTTATAGTCTCGAAGTTTGCCTTGCTCTACACACGATTGTCATTGGCTGATAGTAAACATATGACCCTGCATAAATTTAAATCCCGATCGGGATACATTTATTGAATATGATCAATGTTTAGGTTTTGCACGTGATCAGAGCGCGGCTGAGGTGGGTGGTGTATTTGTGGTGTGATATTTCTAAATGCTCTTATCTGGAACTTCCTGTCTATTTTAAAAAAAATAATGACATGTAACTTTCTCTTTGATTATTCTTGAAAATGTTATGGACAAGTCTGTGGCCAAAAAAGTAGCTTTTGTTTACTTCATCAAAAGACGGAATCGAAAACTGGCGGAGCAGAAGGCCTCCAAAAATACGGTTCTTTAAAGGAACATCTGGAGTGTTTGCAAGAAAAACAAGTTATAGTGTTATAAACGCACAACTTTTGGCCTTTTACTTTGTGCAATTTCCCAATCAAAAGCACCTATTGATTGTTAAGTTCCGTCGGTTGTTCAATTCATTCTGTAACGTGCGTGGCACTGATCATAAAATATCAAAGCTGGAATGACTTCACACCGCACTATGACCTCTTCTCTTTAGGTTCAGCTCTGCTGCTCTTGGCACTTTTTGTAAATTTTCAGTTTATACCATCAACAAGTGCAGCCCCAATTGATTGCCAGAAGAACACTGCTGTCTGCTTCGAAGAAATCATGAAGGAACTGACCCAACTTCGATTTGAGGTTAAAATTCTCACCGAGAACAGAGCATTGGTGGGATGTATGTGTACTTTTTTTTAATTGTACTGGTTATTCCATTTTATCTTTATCATTATACCATAGTGTATCCCGAAAAAGGTAGTCTTATGCAGGGCGATTTCCATTTATTTTCAGAGGAATAATTTTTTGCGAATCGAGAAGGTATTTTTTTTATCTTATGCAGGATAAAAGATATATGAAGAATCGATTTCCATTTATTTTCAGAGGAATAATTTTTTTTACACGAATCGAGATGACAAAATTTTCAGCATGCTTGGAGCTCTTATCTTTAGCAAACTGTTCAAGCTGCTGTTTAAAGAATCAAGCTGCTGATTTAGCTGAACATTGAACAGGCAAAACTGTTCACCCTGACAAGTATGACTGGTTTGGGATTGGGAACGAGACAGCTAAGTATCGGCTATATATTGGCAATATTACAAGTAAGTTAACGGTTTTTTTTTTTGGCATTTATCATTGACAACATAATATTTAAATATTCTAAACTTTTTTCGTATCTTTGTTCATTTGTCGATTTTTTTCAAAATTTTTTTTTTATTATTATCTTATTATTTGATGCGCTTTTAAAAGATAAAGATATATGAAGAATCCAATTTAAATATTCTAAACTCTTTTTCAAGACAGATACTTTGTCAAAGATGATATAAGAATCCACGTTCATACCAGATGATATAAGCCCCCAAACCCCCTCTTTGAGAGCATGCCCAAAACGTCAAGCATCTTTATTTTATCTACAACAGCTAGGAACTGTGCTGAGCTGTACAAATCCGGACGAAGGATCAGTGGTGTTTACACTATCGACCCAGATGGTTCAGGTGCCTTTAATGTATATTGTGACCAAACTACAGCCAACGGGGGATGGACAGTGATCCAGAAGAGAATGGATGGCTCCGTTGATTTTAACCGCACCTGGAACGAATACAAACATGGCTTCGGTAACTTGGTCGGTGAGTTTTGGCTCGGACTGGACAAGATAAACCGCCTGACTCGAAACAAGACAAAGAATAAGCTTCGGGTAGATCTGGGGGTAACTACTGGCAAAACTGTTCACCCTGAGTATGACTGGTTTGGGATTGGGAACGAGACAGCTAAGTATCGGCTATATATTGGCAATATTACAAGTAAGTTAACGGTTTTTTTTTTCGGCATTTATCATTCGATTTATATATATTAATTCACTCTCATTTAAATCTCAATATTTTACTCTACTTGGTCGAATAATGGTATTATAAGTTGGCAAGGTAGTCCTGAGGTAAACCTGAATGTCTGATTGGTTCTTACTCGGTCTGGAGTTAGGTCTTTGTGCCACGTAAGGAGCTCACTTCTTACTAACCTTCAGTTTTTCCTTTATTTCCTTTTTTGCGGAAAACAACAAGTTATTCGCGGGAAAAAGGCGTTATAAGGATCCTAGAATTATGCGAATTTCTTTTGTTTTGTTTTGAAACAGATGCCACCGTTTCCTTTGATTCCCTCGGTCCCCACAGGAATCTCGTTTTTGGTACCTGGGATAGAGAACCTGTTGATTGTGCTCAAAGAAGTGGCAGAGGCTGGTGGTATGGCAACAGTATTAAATGTGCTGTTTTGTCAAATCTCAATGGCATTTATCCGCGTTGTGGAAGGAACACTTCTGCAGATATTCACTGGGCAGAGTTAGATCGAACCAGTGCCAAAGGCAGCGCTCCTTCATCAACTGAAATGAAAATTAGACCGGCGGACTTTTAAAAACTTTGTTAGAGATAAGTACACAGCACATAAGTAGATAGTGATTTTTTAGCGTGCTCTGATAATATCCACCTCTGAGCAGCTAAGGCGACGAAATCTAGCGTCAAAGTTTAATTTAGGTTATGAATTGGTATACAGTTTCTTTAAGCGAATTAAAAACTACGTCATTATATCTTTTAAATGAGACACAGTATCTTAGAAAAACAGCTTTCATGATATAATGGGTTTTTAAACTTTTAATGCTGTATTAATCATTAGTAAGTAAGCAGAATTTTTATATTTTATACTCCTAGATTGTGTTGAAGAATTTTACCGTGTAGAAATAAAGTTGTCTATCAATCTTTCTATCTATCTGACAAGCGCTGCCCTTTCACGTGTTAACGTGGAAAGTTATCGAGATAAACAACAACACTGAAGTGGATTCATTTTCCATTTTTTTCGAGTAAATTTGCAAATCAGCGTCCGAGTGCAAATTTTTACTTTGCTTTACTTATATAGGAAAAGATTATGAGCGATTTTTGAGTAAGAAGAGGACGATGTTCGATTCCGAAGCTAGATTTCAACGTACACGCGGTTTCTTCTTGCATTTGTGAAAGAATCGCTGCCAGAAACAACTAACTTTAATTTAACTGCTTCGCAGCATGCGCACCGTTCGCAAAGAGACCGAAAGTTGAAGGCAGACAATCATCTTGGCCCAAGTCCATTAAGATAGTGCACCTGGTCTTCTAAGAGAGCGTTAACGGGCGGCACAATAAATATAGTGACCAGTTTATTCAAGTGAAGCGAGGCGATCGATCACTGGCGCTGCTTGATAAATTAAAGATTTTCCATAGCCATTTGATAACGAAACGGAGACACCTTTACCTTCGAAAAACATATCTCCCTTAGTGTCATCAATTGCAAAATGCTTCCATTCGATAGAAAAAATTTCCGGAAATTCTAGTAGAAAATCGAATGGAGAAGAAAGTTTCCGGACGGCAGAAAGCTATTTTGGATACAATGTACGTCATGAATGGATTACTGGACCCTTGACCAACCTTTTATGTTAATGATAATCTTTGATAAAATACCAGGACCCTTTGTTCAAAGGGCAGATAATGCCATCCAACGGATAAATCGTTATTAAGCGCTTAAGTGTTAACAAAACGTACTGTGTTATCCACCGGATACAGATTTATCCAGTGGATAGCGTTATTCACCCTTCGAACAACCGGAGCCAGAAATTCTGTCTTTGGCCATTAAAAGTTCACATTGATGGAAACAGATGATTTGTTTTTATGTTTTGTACGTGCGTGTGTTTTTAACGGAAGTGAAAACAGCCTCAAATCGCCAATACTTTTGAAAGCAATTCAAGTGATTTTTTCCACTATCCAAAGTATGATGATTGCATTTGACCAATCATCAGCTATCAATTAACATGTCGAAACCACCGGATATGGTACGCTGACATTTTGACGTTGGGCAAAACCGATTATCGCCGTAAAAATTAAAGAAACGTTATGTATTGAAAACCAAAGCCAGCTTTTGAAACCAAAGGGTAACAGTGGGAAGCTGGAGCTCAACTTTTTAACGATAAATAGTATATACTGAAACAGCGGATTACGTCTAAAACGCGGTCTGATTGGCTACACAAATTCCGAATATGCTTTGCTGTTTACCTCCGAGCAATGCGCGCAGGATTTTCGCCCGAAAATGTAATAGTTATTTTAAGATTAAATGAGTCAAAATCATACTTAAGCGCGTATATTATTTCACTATTTTAGTTTATAATAAATCAATTATTTACCTCGCTACAGCAGCTCGCTACAACTGTAAATAGGGACCTTTCGTAAACCACGATGGCGACGGCAATGAGGACGAGGCAAACAAAAGATTTAATGAGCAGAACAATAACTCAGTACCTGCGTTTGAAGACCGTGTGTATTTCTTAGCCGTCCTCGGTAAAATAGGGACCTTAAGCAAACCACGACGGCGACAGCAACGAGGACATGGAAAAACAAAAGATCTAATCGGCAGAGCAATAGCTCAGCACGTGCTTTTAAAAACTTTGTACATTTCTTAGCCGTCCTATGCAAAACAACAACATGAAATCACCACAATTTGCTTCGTCTGCAAACCGAAACCGCTACGGCAAATTATTTTAATTTCCATTTGAAACTCAAAGCTTCTTTTACACGTTATGCTGAAGTTGAGGTGTAAGGGAAAGGTAATAAATCAAGGGGTGACCATAACCGCTCAATACAGGACGACTCTACGGAGCACTGTATGTTCATTGTGCTAGGTATCACTGCAATTCGCGAGGAATTCGTGGTGGTGTTATCTGCATTGAAAACTGCTTGATAAGGACGGAATTAGAATATTATGATAGCATACCTAATATTTCTTGACTCAGCGATATTGCATGGTATACCTCTGTAGCAGTATCACATCAGAAGGTGTATATCATTAATAATAATTATATTTCGAGTAACCCGCTCGGAAATCTGCCACGTTCCCTGAAACCACAATGTGATATTCAATGTGGATAATAAACCTTATATTTTTTGGGTCAACAATACTGTATACTGAAAGGTATAACTCAGTAGGTTGTCGCAATATCGTATCAGATGGTACACATCAATCAATGGTCATTATATTTCATGTAATACGCACAGAAATCCAGCACGTTCATCGAGGTAACAAATGTGATATTCAATGGCTCCGTTAGGTTTATTAGTTTAACGAATTAGCACCATCTTATCTTGTTTCGTCATATTTCTGAAAAAAAAAAAAAAAAAAAAAAAGAAAAAAAAAAACCAAGACGGAGTTTCAACTCGGGCGTTTCCTTTGGAAAGCCCGAGTAATAGCAGAATACCAAATATTGCGGTTCATTTCAATCTTCTTCATCCCATACCAGATGACAACTGTAAATAGGGACCTTTCGTAAACCACGACGGTGACGGCAATGAGGACGAGGCAAACAAAAGATTTAATGAGCAGAAAAATAACTCAGCACCTGCGTTTGAAGACCGTGTGTATTTCTTAGCCGTCCTCGGTAAAATAGGGACCTATAGCAAAGCCTCTTTACATATCTGTTTCACATGAACCGGTTTTTTTTTAATTTTCATTTTGTCAAACTATGAAATGATTTTATGGTTTCGCTAAAATCCAGATAAATTTTCATTACCAAGGAAAACAACTTCGTAACTTTGAGTAAGGAATTTAAAACTTTTTTCATCGTTCGCTTTGTTAAATCAGCAGCTTCCTAAACATGAGGGGACGCAAGCGGTCTCAACTGCAGGTACTTTTTAGAAATGCTAGGATATTATCCTAGCACTCCTAACATTCCGAGCTGCGCGAGAGTGTCAAAACCCGTGCGTATGTCACAGAAATGTCACTAGACCTAAAGTACGCCAGATGAGGGCGAATAAATTGTGTGGACATAGTTCTCTTTATAATCTACAATGTAAGGCAAAGGAACCAGCCAAGGAATAAAGGCACTATTGATTGCGTGTGAAACAAAAGTATTAGCTGATGACATTTTGATATCAGGCATTAATTTATTTATCTTCTCATATTTATTCGCCCTCATCTGGCGTACTTTAGGTCTAGTGACATTTCTGACATACGCACGGATTTTGACATTCTCGCGCAGCTCGGAATGTTCAGAACTCTAGGATAATATCTTAGCATTTCCAAAAAGTACTTAAAGTTGAGGCCGCTTGCGTCCCCTCATGCCAACGAACAATGTGCGGAAAATTAGTTATAATGTTGATAATAATAGTGATAATAAAGACAATTTTAAGGGGGTTGCGCTGACTAAGGGTAACTGGGGAGTACGCAAAATTTTTTTTTTGTTTTTTTGTTTCTTTTTTTTTTTTTGTTTTGTTTTTTTATCCATCAAAATTATGAAGAGATTAATGATAACTTTGCCGTTTCCGAATATTTAAAAAAGCTTCATCGCCAAAAATCAAAATAAGAAATCAGTGTAGGATTGGAAATCCTCGACAATAGGAGAAGCTCTGCTGGGTTTACCATGGCAACCTTTACGTTAACCAATCAGTCACAGTGATTGAATTTTGTCTTACACCCAAACTATCCGGCCATAGTTTGGGTGTAAGACAAAATTCAATCACTGTGACTGATTGGTTAACGTATCATTTTATGGTGTAAAAGTATCATGTGCTGGAGTCCGTAATTACTCGATCATTTTATGGGTGATCTGACAAACATGTAAAGGTGTAATTTGGACACCGATCGATCAAACCCAGCCGTCTCCATTGGCTTTTCTTTCGGTTGGACCTTTGATTTTGGGGAAGTATTTTTCAGGGTCTCAGGGCGTGCTTTATGCTTAAGAGCCATTAAGTTTACTCCCTTTGTAATCCGTGTCTGAAATTACCTGAGAGAAGAGAACTATGGTCAGTTGCATCTTTAAAAACGTTGATATCCCGGAAAATGAATTTGCTTGAATCTGCATCATTCTTTGATGAAGCGCTTATTCTAGAGATGCCTAAGAGTATAACTGCTCTCAGGGCCCGACCTACCGAGGGTAACGTCTGAATGAGTATTTACTTTCGTCTATACGTAAGGGTAAGAAAGCTCGTCCTACACAAAGGCGTTTCAATATTTTGTTTAACTGTCCACATGAATTCGTTGTCCTCTCATTTTAGGTGTTTGGTTTTTTTTTTTTTTTTTTTTTTTTTTTTTTTTTTTTTTTTTTTGCTTTTAATGTCTATTGTCTATACAAATACGTAAAAGCAATCTTTTTCTTCAAAAGCCTCCGTTTATTGTCGTCCCAAAAGACAGAACTTTTTCTTTAGGCTCCTCTTTTGGACCAAAATCTCCATTTCTAACAGAAGTTTTGGTTGTTTTAGTGTTAAAAATAGGTGGACGTGCCCTAAAAGGTATGCGTTTTCAAATAGAAAATCATAGGTGTGGCCTATACCTAAGGCCTAGCACCTTTAAGGAGGAGATCGGACAGCGCTCGCTCTAGTAAATATGGCAATGTATGACACTTGTAAGGGAGCCTTGCGTGTTAAAGTCAGAACATCAATAGTTAGCGATTACTCACCGAAGTGTAATTACATATCCACCACTTTCATCAACACCGAGGTAAATATTTTTTCTACTTTATGCCAGTATGAACATTTTCTAATACTCAATCTTGTTATATATTTACTTTCTTAGGTAAACCTGAAAAAACTAATCAC